AAGGGGCGAGGGGCGGCCTGGAGGCGGGCGATGGGCGTGGCGCGGCGAAAGGGGAGCCCGGCACGCAGAGGGGAGGCAGGGAGACCGGGCGGCCTTAGGTCCTATTTCCCAAACAGAGATGATCTGCACCTGGTAAGGCTTCTGCGCTAACTGAGCCCCTTCCCGGCTCACAGAGGCTCAGGCTGGGAAGGGGCTCAGTGAGTTGTATGAAAGCATAGCGACTGGGAAACAGACACGCCTGCGGCTCCCTGCACATCCCCAGTGCTTCCCCACTACCCAGGTCCTTTGCAGTGAGGTGGGGGGCCTATGACCACGTGTGGTCAGGGGGTTGCGATCAGGACCGCTTCTGGGGCTGCTATCCAGGGAGCAAGGACGAAAGTCTCCTTTAGACCTCGCCGAACAGTCAGGGTGGTGAGAGGAATAACTAACTGGATGACAGCTTTTATTTCTCGAGTTGGACTTGACGGCCAGCCCACGAGAAAAGGAGGCAGCCTCCAGCTTGCGGGAAAGAGGGCAGAAGCCCTCTTGGGGTGTACAATTGGGGAAAGGGTGTCAGTGCCTGGCGCTGGGTCAGGTTTCTGTCTCTCATTTCAGATGCATGGGCTGCGCTGCCCTGGCAGTAACACTTGTGGCTCCCCCGGCTGAGCGCGCGCCTACCCATGGGCTCACCATTGCTCTGGACTCCCCTCCTGTATTTTGTCTCTTCCTCCTGCACTGAGGATAACGACCCTCAGAAGACCACAGGCTATTCTTGCCTGGACACCCAGAACTTAAAACTGAGTGATGTTGCAATAAAAAGCTCTAGTTTTACACCTCGTTAGGACGCATGTACAGAAGAAATCTGACCTTTAATCAGAATAGGAATGCTCTTCTAGTTGAACAACAAAAAATTTTTAGAAAAAGACATTTATCAGTCTTAGTCTCAAGAGTCCAACAGCCTCACAAAATACCACGTCATGGAAATGAAACGACAAGAGCTACTACCAGCGTGGCCGGCTGCTCAGTGGTTAGAGCGACAACCCCTGAAGTGAAGGGTCAGGTTCGATTCTGATCAAGGGCACGAACCTCCATTGCAGGCTCAATCCCACCCCGGTTGGGGCGGTGTGGGAGGCAACCAATTGATGTGTCTCTCTCACATTGATGTTTCTCTCTGTCTCTCCCCCTCCCTTCTGCTCTCTCTAATAATCAATGGGAGAAAAAGATCCTTGGGTGAGGATTAACTACAACAACAAAAAAGCTACTACCATTTATTGAACAACTACTGGGTGTTCCTGGTGAACATCCTCTGACTTTGTCCTCACAATCCATCCTTTCAAACATCCAATGGGTGGCCGAAACCGGTTTGGCTCAGTGGATAGAGCGTCAGCCTGTGGACTGAAAGGTCCCAGGTTCGATTCCGGTCAAGGGCATGCATCTGGGTTGCGGGCACATCCCCAGTGGGAGATGTGCAGGAGGCAGCTGATCTATGTTTCTCATCGATGTTTCTAGCTCTCTATCTCTCTCCCTTCCTCTCTGTAAAAAATCAATAAAATATATTTTTTAAAAAAAACCATCCAATGGGTGTCTTCCATGAACAGGCACTGCACCAGGTGGCTGGGATAATAAATGGAAGGAGTAGGTGGAGGTCCCAGGCCTCAGGCAATGTGCAGTGTACCCAAAAGTGGGTACAATTTGCAAAGGAGGAAATTTACAATATGTAACTGGCCCTTGGTTATGCCCATATCAGTTGATCCACTACTACACCCCCCCCTCTAAAATACAGTAGGATTTCAGTGTTAACATCTGCTTCACCTTCTACTTAGGGAAAACAGAATGAAACCAAGGATTGCTACCTATAAACAAACTGCAAGAACTAAACCTAACAGGTAAATTGAACAGGCCTAAAACTAACAGCGATAAGGATTCTGGGAACACATGCATTAAACCAAAGACCACATTCCTCAAAATTCAAATGTAAGGATACTATTAGTTATAAGATATGATAATATGTAATATCTCTTAAGAAATAGATATTCTTTCTATTTTTAAATTTTAACATTTTTATATGCACTCCTATCATGCTCGTCACTATTAACCTCTATGTTAGGAGTAATTAAAGCCTGACTTACATTTCAAAATGGCACAGAATAGCAGAGCTCTAAAGGACTACCTCCAACCTCTTCATTTACAAGAAATAAGGAAAGAGTCTCAGGTTCCCATCATGAGTGGATGGCTGACAAGACCATAAATCAGAGCCCAAATCTCCCAACCAATTATCTTCTAAACAGTATACTGTATGTCTAACAAACCCCTGGCTAATTCACATATAATTCTCCAGAGAAGCTCTTCAGCTGCAACATACAACTGAAGCCTAATTTTTTTTTGTGCGGGGCCTGGGGTGGAGACTAGTCCATAAAAACATTTCTAACTGAATGTCTCAATTTATTTAACATGAGTTACAGGTATTTCGATCCTCCCAATAAAACTCATCAGCTCTACCCACTATACTACCCAAACCCATGGTTAGAGAATGTGGGCTGAAAAAAAAAAAAATCCAGCAGGTGGTCTCTCTTTTCACACGCCGAGTGCATGGAAGGCATCTTACAAATATGAAATCATGCTTTGCATGAACAAAAATGATTCCTAAAAGGCATCACTTAGTAATTTTTTTTTCTTTTTTGCTGCTTGTTTTTTTGTTTTTCCACATAAATATTTCCTGTATTTTCTTTCAAGTATACCAGTTCTTTCACAGAATTTAGATTTTTCTCCTTAACTAGAGGCACTATTCAATTTCCATGTCCTTGGAGTGCTTTATCTGGGGATTAGACAACTGTACCAAAACACAGCTGTTCCATTTTTTTTTTCTCCTTTATTTTTCACATTAAAAAATTCTCCCACTATCAGCCAGTCCAATTAGTTACTCACTATCAAAAGCCGGCTTTGGTCTTTCATGTTCTGGAAAACTGGATCCAAGTGACAGGGTGTCATGGAAACTGTATCTCGGGTCATTTTCTGTTTCAATTGTTTAGCCACCAAAAAAAGAAGAAAAAAGTTCAGCTCTATCAGATGGAAATTAATGAATGCTTGCTGTTGCTTTTGAAGAGCATGCAACTAAATGAAAAAGTAATTATCCTTTTTGACCAAGTTTTCCCACCAACACCAAGGAATAAGGGGAGATCAGTGCACCCGAAATGGGAAAAGAAAAGTGCTTTGATTGATGCAATGAACCTCGCCTTTTTCAGTTCAGTTCCATAGTTCAGTGGTCAGTTTTAAGGCCGTCCTTGGGTTTGAGAAAAGTAACTACAGGTTAAGTGGTTTTAATTGTAGTTAACTTTGTTCTTACTCTTCCAACAAAATTTTACCTCTCCTCACCTCTTCTACTTAACCCAAATTTGTTTCGTTTGTTAACCCTCACCAGAGGATTTTTTTTCCCCATTAAGTTTTTAGAGAGAGTGAAAGGTAGGGGGAGAGACAGAAAGAGAGAGAAACATCGATGTGAGAGAGATACATCGGTTAATTGCCTCCCACATACACTCCAACCCCCAACTGGGGCTGGGGGATCAAGCCTGCAACCAAGGTACATGCCCTTGCCGGGAATCGACCCTGTGACCCTGTAATCCACAGTCTGATGCTCTATCCACTCAGCCAAACCGGCGCTAGGGCATACTTCGCCCAAATTTTGACATTAACTAGACAGAGCTAGTATTCTCCTCTTTGACCTGAAATCCCCTCCACGTAAGGGGGATGTGTAAATGAAACAAAAACTGTAATGTAATCTGAAAAGATTTCTTGCTGTATTTATTCTCTGCTAACAAAAGAAATACACACACACACACACACACACACACACACACGAGTGCGAGAGAGAGGAAAGTAGAGCTTAAGGCCTACAAGCAATACCAGACGAGCACATGTGTTTAGGAAATGAAGTGCTGGCTGGAATTCAGTAATAATGAGCCCCTCAGTGATCTAATGTACACCAGCGTACACTGCGGTGGAAACAGAGTGGCAGACAGGACAATAAGGAACTCAACCCGTGTTTAATACGTTTCAGCTCTGTCTAAATAACTGCTGGCAAAAAACCGGGAAGCGATACAACAAATCAATTTTAGGGCTCAAGAGGATTTGCTCAAATAGAAGATAGCTATGAAGTGTACATTACAGGGTCAGTTCACAGCTCCGTTATGGGGAAGGCGCCCACTTGCGATGCTGTCCTTTTTAGGTTGTGATCTCTCCTCTCTATTCCAAAACAGGAAATATCTGTGCTGCTTCTTTTTCTTAGACATAAAGAAGAAAGCAACTGGGAGTCACCCCCCAAACCAATGAAATTTAAATATTATTCAAGTAAGCTAAGCCTTATATCACTTATATCTAAATTACTATTTGGACAATTGGGAGAAGGTGGTAAAGGGAAAAGAGGGACACCTTTTAGCAAGGACCCCGAGTTCTAGACCTTTAACCTGTCATAAAGTCACTGTGTTTATTTAATCAGTGCCAGGAAAGATGCATCTAGGCCAGTGATGGCGAACCTTTTGAGCTCGGCGTGTCAGCATTTTGAAAAACCCTAACTTAACTCTGGTGCCGTGTCACATATAGAAATTTTTTTGGTATTTGCAACCATAGTAAAACAAAGACATATTTTTGATATTTATTTTATATATTTAAATGCCATTTAACAAAGAAAAATCAACCAAAAAAATGAGTTTGCATGTCACCTCTGACACGCGTGTCATAGGTTCGCCATCACTGATCTAGGCCAACTTTGTGCACAGTTTCTCTCCTAATCGCTCACACATGCTGCCCAGTTCCTCTCTCTAAATCTACAAGAATGCCCTTAAGACACCAACTATGTTTTATTAAAAATAAGGTGGAGCTGATGATTTCTAATTGGTAGTTGCTTCTATTTCTTTTTGGTTAGCCTTTGAGGAAAGGAGAATATCCATACTTCTATACCTTTTGGGGAGAAAAGACCCTAATTTAGGAAAGTTACTGGTAGGCAATCTTTCAAAGTGTTTATATTATAATCACTATGGTTTGGTTTTTATGTACACAAAACAACAGTAGTAGAAGTAATTTCACCAGAGACAATATTTGCCAGAGGCAGAAGTTATTTCTAGAAGCCATTCAGATAGTATTTTCTTACAGAAAAACCAGTTAAAATATGGAAGTAACTGCTGAAGGCATCAACACAAAAGGCATAAATCAGTTCAAAGGGTGAACCCAGACTAAAATACATCCAAGAATACAGCTACAAACCAGACTTGAAGGCCTCTGGTCATGATGCGTGAAGTTGGTTCTATCCCAAGAGAAACAATACATAAAATAAAGATGGAGCTGGTACAAGGGGTTGTGAACTGTAAGAGAGGCAAGAAATACAGTATCAAGACAGACCATCTTTATATTCTGGTCATAACTCACTACTTTTCTTTTAATTTCTTTACCCTAGGAAATACAATGTTAGTGCGCTCATTGCACTTTCTACCTTACTTATTTAAATGGAAGGGGAGGAAATAGAGACTCAGTTTGTAAGGAGCAGCTCAATTACAGAAGAATTCTAATAAACTTTCACTGTCTCTACAGGAATAGGTTAATTCTTGACATTGGTGGATGAACTTCAATAGTGCATTCGGTGAAAATTTCAACTCCGGGTTGTATCTGCTTTGTTTGCATGCCCAATCAAAGGTATTATTTAGAATATAGCAGCGGTTCTCAACCTGTGGATCGCGACCCCTTTGGGGGTCGAACGACCCTTTCACAGGGGTCGCCTCAGACCATCGGAAAACACATATATAATTACATATTATTTTTGTGATTAATCACTATGCTTTAATTATGTTCAATTTGTCACGATGAAATTGGGGGTCACCACAACATGAGGAAATGTATTAAAGGGTCGCGGCATTAGGAAGGTTGAGAACCACTGGAATATAGGTAAATGTATTAGGCACCTTCAATGTCACAGATACAATGCTGTTTTGGACAGTGAAAGCATACTACTGTGAAACAGACATGCACGCTGCTTACTGGACATCCCGAGTGCTCTACCACACACCCAGGTCCTTTCCAGGTAGGTGGGGATCATACGATCAAGCATGGCCAATGGGTTGTGGTCAGAAGTGACCTGTGACAGTGAACAGACACCCAGGACTTCAAGATGGCATCAGTGATACCAGTAATGAAGAAGAAACTCATGGACGTCAAAACAGGGGGAGCTGCCAAGCTGGATAGTGATGCAGGTTTCACCCCTAAAGGCATCGTTGGAGCATTTCAAAGCTGTTGCTACCGGTATTACCAAAAGTATGTCACTGTGAAGGAAGGGGTCAACTCTGGGGTTTCTAAGGTGCGGGCAGCTCACATGTTCTAACTGCTGCCTTTCTTACAAGGAACTCAAATGTGAATAGTTACACAAGCACCACAGAAGAGGAGAGGACTACTCTGTATTCCTGACCATGACCTTCTTTGCCTTTAGGAACATGATCATTACTGAATCCTTTCATAGCCTAATTGAGAATGAATGACCCCAAAAGATGACTGGCATGTGTAAAAAAATCTACTTGTCACTGCCTACAAAATGAAGGTGAGTCCTCTATGTCTGTCTTGCCCTGTTAAGGCAAACCTAGAAGTCACAAGTTGAGATGTCAAGGTATCAAGATAGAGAAAAGACACATCAATCCCTAGGAGACATTCATTAAACAAATAATCTGTGTACACTGAGATGTAGGGATTTTTTCAGTACTGCAGCCTGTCCTCGGTCAGGGATTCTTAGCTTTTGTGTGTGTCCTGAAGCCCAGGGATAGGGCAGTTAAGTATGTGACGATCTTCTCAGAATCGTGTATTTAAATGCACCAAATAAAGCACACAGGATTGTAAAGAACACCAATTACATGTTTTTTAACTTATGATATATATTTTTTGCATGCTTCTTTATTAATGCACTAGAGGCCCCGAAATTTGTGCAAGAGTAGGCCTTCCTTTCCCCAGCTGCCTGCACCGGCTTTCCTCCGGCACCCGGGACCCAGGCTTCCCTCACAGCCCCGGCTTTGTCTGGAAGGTTATCCGGAAGGATGTCTGGTCTAATTAGCATATTACATTTTTATTATTATAGATTAATCAACAAGATAAGATCCAGCAGTGTGTCTAACAACTACTATAATTTCAAAGTTGTAAGGATCATGTCATTTCAACTTATCTATGTATGATACTTAAAGCAAGTTATATCTTTGATATGTTTTGATGACAGAGTCCCAGGTATGGCCAATACTATTAGGATTTATTGTCTACATCATCATCGAACAAGATGCCAAATTTCTGTTAGAGGTTTGTGTTATAATTCTTTTTGAATTCTATAGAGCACAGAATAAGAACCCCTGAGTTTTACCCTTTCCTGATTAATACAACCATACTACAAACTCACAAGCAGAGTTCTACTGGGCTGTCTAGAGTTGAGCGCACTGCAGTGCGTGAGGCATGTTCTTCTGTGGCTTTTCTTCCGCCACTGAGTTTCTCATCTATTTTGTGTTCTCACCAATTGTTTTCAACATAATGGCAACTAACTAAAGTATCATTCAGGCTGTTAAAATGCAATTTTATGGAAGCTTAGGTGCCCTTCAAGGCAACGAAAACTGATAAAAATCATCCCATAAAAAGGGACTGGTCAAGGCTTTTGACATCATAAACACCACGCAGTCTGGGAAAACTCACCAACAGTTGTACAAAAGGCAGCTGATAAAATACTCTGTCCAGAGACTTGTCATGACTTCAAGAAACATGGAGACACATGGAGATAGCCAATACAGGATGCTGGGGTCACTAGGTCAGAATGCCATCCAGTCCTCAGCTGGTCAGCCCTACACACTATCCCTGGGTACACACCAGGAAGGTATATCCCAAACTAATTGGGATGTCAGGTCTATTTAATATGTCTATGAAGGCTGGGTAAAACAAGACTGAAATAATTCATACATCTTAAGTCATTCCTCTATTCTATAAGTTGGGGAGAGGGAGAATGAGAGAGAGAGAGAGAGAGAGAGAGAGAGAGAGAGAGAGAGAGAGAGAGAAGGGAGAGAGCGGGAGAAAGAGGCATTAATATAAAATAAACCATCCTGCACTTTCTTAAATCATCCTAGCATAGTAGTCAACACCTTACTCAAAAGTATGTGACACAGCAGACAACTGAGCTCTCAGCCCTGATAGGGAGGCAAGGATTAGAGAATCAAGAAAGTATTTTAAATCAAGCAATAAATCCTGCAGACAAGATCTGAGAACCAACAATGAATGAATCCATCTTGCTTCATGTGTCAAATACTAAGAGGTTGTGTAGTATACTAGAAGC